CAGACCTTATGATATAACCGGTAACCATTCGGCCATCCAAACCCCCCTCTAGTCTAGTTATATCTACATGATGGATATAAATCTATGTATAGTATAAAAGGAATTCTATGTATCTGGTTATCTTGTTGAAGGTTAAACTGATATCATCATTTATTATCAATCTAATGGTTGTGTTTGCTAGGAAACTGGTAAATTGTTGCTGGCAAATGATCATAATGAAGGATTTGGTAGTGAAACATTTAGTGACCGGACTCTCACTTCAAAATGTTGGAATAATCTGAATCTATCATTACAATTAGTGGTGTGGTCATCAAATGTTAATTTTTCAACACCCAATATTAAATTAGCTTTAAGTCTCTAACTCAATATCATCCAAAATCTATGACATTGAAAACACAAATTATTTGTCGGTTTAAATCAACATTGATGTTGTGATCTTACTGGGAAAAGATGGCCTTCTGATATCCAATATTTAAGACAAAATAAACATTTTACAATGTTCAGCGCTATTTGTAATAAGGGACTCGAAAAATGAGGCTAGGCATGTTCCATAAGTCATGTCAAATGGTGACGCTATATTCTCATCTGGAAAGCATGCGCAATAAATACTAACAGCGTAGACTGGAATAACCAGACGCTAGAGATTGCCATTCGATTGAGACTTCTGGCGTATTTCGCCGAACCTAACTGATTAGAAATTTCAGTAAAAACAGAAACGATTTAGCTCCTTTGACAATTGTGCTATATTTGTTTTAAAGGAGCTAAATTGCTAATATTTGGGACCTAGAAATTGACACAAATGGGTCACAATGCATATAATAATGTAATATGAATATATATAAACTGATTTACATTCAATAGTTTCCGTTTTTACTCTAATTTCTAATATTAACATTATGAGATCCTGTGAGATTGATCTCTAATGTTAATATGATGTTGAAAAATCATAATCAAACTTCAACTTTCTACGTTTAATTTATTAATTTTACTATCTGAATATTCCATTCGGTTGAAACGCTTAATTAATTGGCCATTTTGATGAGGTTCAGAGCCTCAAATTTTGCCCCATTTTTGGTGCATTTTCAGAGCCAGAATCAGATTAAATATTTATGGATAATGAGATGGCGAACCTTAAATTTTGTCGCAAGTCAGAAACAGATTATGGATAATAAGATAGAGAGCTTTATATTTTGCCCCATGTCAAAATCAGATTACGTATCCATGGATAATGCAATAGAGAGACTTGTATTTTGTCCTGAGTCAAAAACATATTACATTTCCATGGATAATGCAATAGAGACTCTTAACTTTTGTCTTGAGTCAAAAACATATTTTCATGGATAATGAGATTAGGAAACTAGATTTTGTCAAAAATCAGTTCAATAATACTCATAGCAAACAGAGTTGAACCGTAACTTTTCTAATTTCTCATCACCCTCTCTTTAAATTTATCTCGGTTAGGTGATTTAATTTGATCGATGAAATAATTTTAAGGTTCAATAAAGCTCATGTCAAGCAGGGTTTATCATTTCTAATAAAGGTTCAATTTCTCACTACCATCTCTTTAAATTTCTGAACAAAAGAATTTTATCTTGATATCTATTTGGTGGACTTGTTTAGTTAGAAGTCATTTTTCATGTTCAGTCAAGTGTATTAATGTAATGTGAATGACAGGACCAAAATTTTGACTCAAAAAAAAATAAACATTTACTTAAAGATAAATTATTGATGATTAGATAAAGAGCTGACAGTTCTCACTATAATACTGAGAAATATTCATTTTAAAATCTTTGTAGTCCCAAATGTCATGGTGACAAAAATATAAAAAGTCTTGATTATCCATTCTTGCGCTTTATCATCAATGGCTGTCGAACGGTAGATCGGATTCAAATCTAATGAAAATCGGAAGCATCAGATGGCATCGAGAGTTGATTATGGTCTTACCATGTTAACCTGTTAAGCGTGATGTTTTTAAAAAGTTAACTACCCCCTATTGTGTAATTAATTTGACGAAGTGACGAATAACTATGTACTATGTTCTAAGAATAGGTTAGGGAAAATACCTCCAAGGCGTTATATTACGCGCTACACACAGTGAGTGGCAGTTATCCAGGATGTTATATAACGACCTACAAACTTAACGAGTTAATAAATGTCTACAAAGATGACAAAGATGACATGAAATGTAATAGGGTTTAACGTCCTACTGTTCTGTTCCGACTGGGCCAATGAAGATGGGCATACCCCATATAATGTGCTATGAGGGAAATTTTGCATATCGAATTCCGACTGCCAAGGGATCTTTTTCGTGCACACCATTCTGACCAATTCAAATGTCCCATTCAAATGACTATAAGTTGTCCCTTGTCTGGCCCTCCATTCTGAACCACTGACAGTTAAGTTTAACGATCAAAAGGGTTTTTGAACTGGGTCAGCTCGAGCGTCTGACTGGGCTATTTGAGTATATTTTGTTGCCTACCAATCTATCCTTACAAGTTTTACAGTTTACAATAATAAATAATTTGACCGATAAATTAATTTTGGCTTAGTGCTATAGCTCTCTATTTCGAATTCCAACTGTCAAGGGTTCTTTTAGGTGCACGCCAATGTGTACACGGGATCTTGGTTTTCCGTCCCTACTTTGAATTCCAATTGCCAATGGTTCTTTTACATGCATACCTAGCGTGTACGCAGGATCTCAGTTTACATCCCATCCATACAACTAGACACTGTTCCTGACAAGGGGAAACCACGCTGGAAAATTTATTTATATATTGATATGGGGGGGTTGGATGGCCGAATGGTTAGCACACGCGCGCTGTATCATACGGTCTGCCATTGAGTCAAACGCTATATCATACGATCTGTCAACTGGCGGGGTTTCGTTTCCCCGGTTGTATGTGACAAGGAGTAGGGTCGCCTGTCCAACCTCGTGGGTTTTCTTCGGGGCCTCCGGTTTCCTCCCACTGCTAAAGACCCCTACGCGCAAGCGAATTATTGAAATAAAATCGAACCGTGTGTTAGTCCCGAAATGACCTATAGTTTGTGTTGAGTGGACGTTAAACCCCATTTCTCTCTCTCAAAATATATATTGATATTTTGCATTAATACAGACTTTGCATATTTGTAAATTGAATATTTATCTATTGTATTTAATTCTGATAATAAAATTATTTTTCAATGAGGAAATTAATGTATAGATACCTTTATTATTCACATCTGGAATTTTATGATGAAAGTTATTTAATTTTAAATATATAAGTGACAATGATATACACACAGCCAGGTTTACCAATAAGCGTAGTAGGGTATCTGGGAGCCTACTAAATCTAATCTGTCACGCAGCGTGCCACCTTGTTTCAAGTATACATCTGGTACTCACCCAGAGGAACATAAAGATCAACAAATATATAAATCTAAAGACATTAATTTCCATATAAATCTAAAGAAAAGGGAGCAAAAAGAGTCACCAGCTCCTGGGAATTTAATCTCCTATTCCCTTTTATCGCCCTACTAAACTATATCATACTATCAGACAAGATATCACAAATAATATGAATTATCACCCATTTAAAGTTGCAATTTCATATTTTTAAGTTATATTTTAAAAATTTATTAAAATAAAGCCTTAAAATAGATGGTATCTATAAACAGTCCTACCTTGTTAAAGAATAATCCTATTAATTCTTTAATTCACTATTACCAGTTGAGAAATTGGCAAAAATATCATTTTCTTCTTCAAATTCCAACGTTTGAAGGTAACTACTCCATGGTGGAGAATAGAAAACAAGGGAAGTAATTTTGAGGTAATTGTGTTATTATTTCTGGTGTAAATGAGTTTTAAGTGTGAGAATGACACCTATGATCGTATAATAGTGAGTTGACAACCTATTGAGCAAAAGACATAGAAATAATTAGGTTTTGACTTTCTTAGAAAATATGAAATTGTAACTTTAAATATTTTCATATTAAAAAGAGCATGTTAAACCCCATCTCTCTCTCCAGTTTCCTCCCACTGCTAAAGACCCCTATGCGCAAGCGAATTATTGAAATAAATTTGAACCATGTGTTAGTCCCAAAATGACCTAGTTTGTGTTGAGTGGAGGTTAATCTCTCTCTCTCCCCTCTCTCTCTCTCTCTCTCCAAGATATCACAAATACATTATAACAAAGGATGATTTTACACTCTAATAAATGCAAATACATGAATAGAGTCTATTTATATAAGGACAAACTGTGAGAAAACACACTGAATATATGTTAGATCAATACCCACTGCATAACATATATCGATCACATTTCTAACTTGGCATACATATTATTTAGTTTCCTTCAGGATGTAGATCAACATTCATACACTATAAAACACCCACACCTTGGCTGAATTAAGCTTGCATGGGTCCTCAGAATGATAATGTCGGTGTGGCGCTTGCATTAACAGTGAAGTGAAAGGGAGCATATTCTGGTCATTGTCCATGACACACACAAATGCAATTTGTAAGATAAGATAAGATAAGATTTATTATGTCAGTATGGTAGATATTGATTTATTTGACACAAACATATATATAAAACATAATAAATGAAATATTTATTTTTGGTAGAATTGGGGCCAAGTCACCCCCCCTCCCTGTTTATTCTGCCTCTAACCACATCATAACAATATTTTACACAGTGGACTATTTACAGCCAAGAGAGAGAGGGAGGGGGAGGGATGAATATGAGAGAGAGATGAATATGAGAGAGATGAATATGAGAGAGAGAGAGAGAGAGGGAGAGGGATGAATGTGAGAGAGAGATGAATATGAATGAGAGAGATGAATATGAGAGAGAGAGAGGGAGAGAGAGAGAGAGAGGTTAAACCATTTACTCAAACTAGGTCATTTCAGAAAAATAAAAAACACACACACACATACACCACACTATAGACTATTTACAATTAAACATGTTTCATTGATAAAATAAAACCAGGTAAATAATAATATATTCAAGTCCACATACCTTCGCTCCATTTTCCAACAAGATCTTGCAGAAGGCTTTTCCTAATCCCATTGCTGCACCTGTCACAATAGCTACTTTTCCTGTCACACTCATGTCTGCTGTCTGGTAATAATAACAGTTCTGCTACAACCGATATAATAATAGAAACAAGTAAAAAAATCTAGCCACAACTGATGTCAACAACCATAAAATCTACCTTCACTGTTGAGAGTTTTGTTATCAACTATAGAGCTGTACACTTCAATTTATAATGGACCTCACCTACACTTATATACAGATTTGCTCTAGATCTCAGCCACAGTGAGATAAGTTGTATTATAACAGTTATACACCATTTATGATATTGGACACCTTCAATATGTCAATATATACACTATTGTCAAAGATAAGTACCTTGTATATATATACTTAGCCTAAATATAATTTTACAAAAATATTGAAATGAAATGAAATGAAATGGGGTTTAATGTCCATAGGCGTAGAAGCCGGGGGGCAGGGGGGGCCCCAAAAATTTATTTTCGGGCAATGAAAAATTTGATGACCTTTTTTTTTCTATTAACGTTTAGAGAAAAAATATAACTAACTTATTTCTATGAGATCCACACTGCCCGAAAAGTATTTTCTCGTCTTTTTCTTGTCCACTGCATGCCCGAAAATATACCCGAAGCTCTCTTATGATATGTATGCCCGAAAAAACGGTATTGATTTCGGGCAATTTTCTCTTATGCCCCCCTGAATTACTTTGAGCTCTTACGCCTATGTTAATGTCTTAGCTACTGTTCTGCTACGAACTGGGCTAATGAAGACAGGCATACACCATACAGTGTGCTATAAGGGAAATTTTGCATAGACAGCGGCACTATGGCCTACTCTTATATCGAATTCCAACTGTCAAGGGATCTTTTATGTGAACGCCAATGTGTACACGGGACCTCAGTTTTCTGTCCCATCCGAACGACTAGACAGCTGTCCTTATCTGGACGAACTTTCTCGGCCAATGCAGGGATCGAACATTCGACCTCTAGGCTAGCGAGCCAGCGTCTTACCCACTCAGTCACCATGACCCCACAAAAATATTGAACACCTTCAATACGTCAATATATACTATTCAAAAAAAGTAGGGGATATTTGATTTTTAAGTGTTATTAAAGTCACCTAATGAAACTGACGAAGAAACAAATGACAAAATGAAATGAAGTTCACATTCATCGATTTATTCCAAATGATCGTTAGACTAAGTAAGGCACAGACTGACCATTATAAGGGTAAAATGATACCCGGGGTCAAACAGCAAAGTTACCACAGCATCACAACCAAGTCAGTAACGGGTAAATCCTCCTCTGTTTGCCAAACAAGCATTGATCCGACGTGGCATACTCCTAATGAGACGTCTAAGGTCATTTTGGTCCAGATTGTCCCATTCCTGTTGCAACGCAGCAGCAAGTTCTTGGACATTGGCAGGACGTTGTTGACGTTGACGTAACCTCTGTCCAAGCATGTCCCAGACATGCTCGATGGGGGAGAGGTCGGGACTCAGTGCTGGCCAAGGTAATGTGGTGATGTTCTGTTGTTGGAGGTAACCTGTAACGATCCTGGCCCTGTGACATCTTGCGTTGTCATCCTGGAAGATGAACGGCGGCCATGACGTCGTGCGAACGGCACAACATGGACTGCCAAGATGTTGTCCCGGTAGTACTGGCCTGTAACTCACCCTGCAACAACATGTAAAGCCGTTCTTCCAGCAACAGTGATGCCTTCCCACACCATAACAGAACCACCCCCAAATCGATCATGTCTGATGACGTTAACGTCTTGGAAGCGCTTGTTTCGACGACTCCACACCCTCCTACGTCTGTCCAAAAAATCAACAGTGAACCTTGACTCATCTGAAAACATCACATTGCTCCAGCGTCGATTATCCCAGTGTTGACGATCCCTACACCAACGACGTCTTGCCTGAATGTGATGATCTCTCAAACAAGGGATCACGCGAGGACGTCGGGCGCGAAGGTGACCCCTATGCAGTCGATTCCGAATCGTCTGGCCACTCACTCTCACACCAGTGTCTGTTTGAAGACGAGCGCTGATCTGATTTGCTGTGATGACACGATTTCTCAAGGCCAAGGTACGGATAAATCGATCCTGGGCTTGAGTTGTTGCCCTTGGTCGACCTGAGCGTGGTCTGTCCTGTACAGATTGTGTATCACGGTATCTGGACCATAGCCTGCTTATGACAGACTGAGAAACATTCATCGTCCGCGCCACAACCGCCTGTGTTGTGCCGATCTGTAGCATGCCAAGGGCACGTAACCTTTCATTTTGGGTAAGCCGACGCATATCAAAATTTGTTTTCTGGTCACCAAAACAATTAAACTGATGTTTCCACCCTGGAATTCAATGCCACAATGACTGTAACATTCAAAGTCAGAGTCGTGCAAATCTTGGGTTGGACCCCCATGATGATCCCAAGCATCACCTGCATTCCATGCGGTAGCTATTGGTGCGTTTGGGCGTCACATGTAACTGGAAATGTTTTTTCTGTTAGGTTCTATAGTGACTTTTTTCGTAGTCATTTGCATATTTTAGTATTATGCCCCCAAAATCAAATATCCCCTACTTTTTTTGAATAGTATATATCATTGTCAAAGATAAGTACCTTGTATATACTTAGCCTAAATATAATTTTATAAAAATATTGAACACCTCCAATATGTCAATATTCACTATTGTCAAAGATAAGTACAATGTATATACTTAACCTAAATATAATTTTACAAAAATAACTTGTTTTAAATATCCAATAATTACATAATACTGCATTTTATCATGCTCTCTATGATGTAAATGTCAATAATTCATGTCTGAGCTTTAAGAGAGAGAAATGGGGTTTAACATCCACTCGACACAATCTAGGTCATTTCGGGACTAACACATGGTTCAATTTTATTTCAAAAATTAGCTTGCGCGTAGGGGTCTTTAACAGTGGAAGGAAACCGGAGGACCTGGAGAAAACCATTGAGGTTGGACAGACAACCCTACTCCTTGTCACGTACAACCGGGGAATCGAAACCCCGCTAGTTGACTCAATGACAGACTCTATGATACAGCGCGCACATGCTAACCATTCGGCCATCCAACCCCCCTGTCTGATCTTTAAAGATGCATTAAGGAAAAGCTAAATCTGCCTATAGCAGGTTTTTAATTTGGATTCAAATGTTATATAAATTATCATTTAGACATTTATTTGCACAAGTCTGTATTCAACTCTTTAGACAATCGGATGGCACTGATGTAAATGGATTAAAATAAAATCGCCATTTAATGATTTAATTTAAAAATGGAGACGCGAGGGCGGAGGGCCTGACAAGGACAGCTGTCTAGTCATTTGGATGAGATGAAAAACTTAGGTTCCATGTACAATTGGCATGCATGTAAAAGATATCGCTTGGCAATTGGAATTCGATATAAGAGTAGGCCGTAGTGCCGCTGTCCGGGCAAAATTTCCCTCATAGCACACTGGATGGCGTATGCCCATCTTCATTAGCCCAGCATAGGAGCAGAACAGTAGGACCGTATAGTAAACCAAATTTCATTTTATTTCATTTCTGTATATTCCTGACTCCACTCTAATTATTTCTATGCCTTGTTCAATCATAACAACTCCATCTGAAAGTGCACCTATCAAGAGTTACAAGCACCTGTGGGTATACTAGTATTTTTCATCACCTTAATTCAAGATCAAAAGCTTTTTGTCTTTTTTACAATCCAAAAAGTTAACAAGTTATTGAGTTATCCATGACCCAAAGGCTTGTAAATCCAGTTTCTACATTCAGATGTAACCTATTATCAATTTCTGCTGCTGTTTTTCACAGTCTAAAGACTACACACAACATTATCAGATAAAGAGATCCATTATATTGAGTTAGCACTCAGTAGAACCTATGTAAACAATTGTTAGGTTGGTATTTATTGAGTTATTATCTTATCTTCTTGGTTTTTCCCTCAGGTCCAATTTTATCTAGAACTAAAACCAGACAGAAGTATACTGTATATAACCATGTGTAATCAAATACCTACTGTATTAACTGTACCAATGTATAAGGCACACAGTACAGTCGTAATTGATTTTTTTTCAAGCAAAAAATGTGCACAAAAAAATAAGTGTTTCAGACACTATATCCAGAGATTAGACTCATATCTTCAGACATTTTACAATCTGATTAAAACACAGATCCTATTTTGTTTCATTTTTTATTGTTAAAAATTTCTGATTTACCAAGTTTTAGTTTATCACCACAAGAATATATATAGAGAAAGAGAGAAATGGGGTTTAACGTCCACTTGACACAAACTATGTCATTTTGTGACTAACACAAAGTTTTATTTTATTTCCATAATTCGCTTGCATGTAGGGGTTTTTAGCAGTGGGAGGAAACCAGAGGACCCGGAGAAAACCCACGAGGTTGGACAGGCGACCCTACTAGCTACTTGTCACATACAACCGGGGAATCTAAACCACGTCAGTTGACTCAATGACAGACCTTATGATACAAAAAAATAAGTGTTTCAGACACTATATATGGAGATCAGCCTCATATCTTCATCTATTTTACAATCTGATCAAAACACAGGTCCTATTTCGTTTCGTTTTTTATAGTTAAAAATTTTGTTTTACTTGTCTTTACTTCACTAGGATCTGGAAGAGTTGTTATATAACCTGCATTCTGGATGATAGGGATTAGCCAGCTGCAATGAAATGATCTGTTACGGCAAGTTTTTGACGTGAGGTGCACGGAACTGTGGGTAACCCACTAGAGACATCAATGCTGATTGATTAATAATATCATAGGGTCAAAAGTCGCTCATATGACCTCTGACACAACCTTTCACTACAACCCGTCAGATCTTTAAGTAGCAGAGGCCATCGAAAGTATAAAAGGACGGAACGAAATATAGATCTGTATTTCAATCAGATTGGCCATTTTATAGACAAGCAATGATCAGATAAGGAATTGTGGATGAGTGAATATTGGCGACAGCAATTTCAATTGACAACTCAATCAATTATGACCCAGTCAACAATCCTACCAACAGAGAGAGTGAGAGAAATGGAGTTTAATTTCCACTCGACACAAACTAGGTAATTTTGGGACTAACATATGGTTCAACTTGTTTTCAATAATTTGTGTGTGTTTATACAATAGAAGTGGGAGGAAACCAAGGGGTGTAGAAAAACGAGGTTGGACAGATGATCCTACTCCTTGTCATATAC